TATTTTTGTTTTAAAAGTTGTACCACAAAAAAAAAAAAAAAGCCAAATTTATCCCAGGCACAGAAATCTGTGCTCAAATAGAACTTTCTGCATTTCCTCTGGATGCTTTGAATCAGAGAAATACTGCCAGGTAGATAAACACCCATACAGAAAATGACAATGTTCACATTCCTGTATAGAAGTCAGAATTATAAACTTTGTGAATTAAAAACCAACCAAGTATAAACGAACACTAACGCAGCTTCCTAAAATTTACCATCTTATTAAAGTGAAATGCAGATTTACAACTAAGATTTATGTGAGCCAACTAGAACAAATTTCAATCAGTTTTATTTCAAAAGCCTGTGGGATCCTGTTCATCATTTATATGAAATCATCAAATATAACCTCATTACTGTTATTTCTTCCCTTTATTTGGATTTTAAGAATTAAGTTCCAATTCCTAACATAAAATAGAAGAGAAAGCAAATAAGAATGTTTAATCCTAGTAAAATGTTGTTTGTTGGGATTTTTTTTTCACAATAGGAAGATGGCACAGCTGAAATACACGTAACTCAGTTCACTAAATATCCACCAATTCTGCTGGTTTATTTACAGATGTATTCATGCCCTGACTGCTGTTCAGCCACTTCTTGACATCATATTGTGAAGTTAGATATTTCATGAAAGATTACAAAAGATGCCACCTAAATTCTATATACCACGGGAGATGATGTTCTTTTCCCTCAAACAGAATCTTAGTTCTGTAGCTCATTTTCATCTTGAAAAAATTGATTTTCAGTATCACCTGCAGACTTGCAGCTCAAGTCTGGTAATCCACTTCTTGACTATATAATTGAAGAGGTTATGGGTAAGGTTTTTGTATCTCCACAAATTAAACTGAACAAGCCTTTTTTCTGAGAGGGAAGTCTTGACTAGTGAGTGCCTTCTACATAAGCAGTATTGAGATTCAAGTGTCTGAATGACAGAAAATCCAAGTGATTTTCTTGTTACTTCATTCTTCTGAACATTTATGAAAGAATTTCAACATGATAAGGAGTATATGCTTTCTCTTAAGTCACTAATTAGTGAAAAAATCACTGGAAACCACTTGTCATGGTTTAGGAATGGCAATTCCCAATTTAGTGTCCTCCTCCACCCCCACAAACGAGACTCTCCCAAACCAGAGCCACTTGCTTGCTTCCCTCCACCTTTCTCTCCCCCTTCCAGTTCCAGGGATGAAGCTGAGAACTGGAGGCACAAAAAGGTGAAAATTACGGGTTGAGATAAGAACAATTTACTGGAAACAGCAATGAGATAAGATAACAAACAGTAAGGCAACAATGTTAATAACAAAAGGTGTAAAGCAAAGAAATTATTTATGTGAAAAAAATGCAACAGAATACCAACAGTCTCTTCCCCACCCCACAAATCCCTTACTCCCACCCCTTGTAAGTGACTGTGAGATGGAATCAAATAAAATTAGGGTCCGGCCATGCTCCCTTCCTGACTACTGTAAAAAATTAACCCTCTCCTGGCCAAAACTAGGACACCAGTACAGCTCCTTTTTTTCCCAGAAACCAGGAGACTGAGCTTAAAACTAGGTACAAGCCTAGGAATGGGATGCTTGGGCAGCTGAAGGGGGTAACACTATGGCCCCTGACCAGTGTGAATAACTATATTCAAAAATATTTTCCTTTTGCTTCTTCTGTATTTATACTTTGGGTTCATTTGTTTGCAATGTCCTATGTTATAATTGGTTTGCCTCTATAGCTCATGAAGAAATGTCAAATTAGATGTTACTGTAAACTTGCAGAATATTTAAAAGCCATGAAAAAGCTATTCTTCACCCTCTTCTGGCTTCTATATGTTAATGTCTCCTTGTCTAGGAGACATTAACCTAATCTAGGTTATTTTAGGGGTTTTTTACCTCTGGACATGGTTTCAAATCTCATTATGCAAATCCAGTACATGACACATAGGCAAAAAGAATATATTCAAGTTATTAAATGAGAAACCTGAATTATTTTCAAGGAGATAGATACACAGCAATAGAAATTAGAACTGTTAACTGAGAATCAATTTTCCAGCTGTCAGTTTAACAATAATGAAAGTTTTTTCATCAGTTGTGTTGGCTACCTGATGTTTCCTTCTACAAGAGGCATTTCTCACATGACAGGTTCTTGGGAGAAGAGATGATAAAACCCATATACGTGGGCAGAATGCCTGTAACAGGAGGCATCTGCTAGCAACAAGCCCCTGGAAGATCCCAGCTCTGACGCCCTGAAAAGGGATCAAGCAGCAAGTGCAGAGTGTCCCGTTCTGGATGAGAAGAGGAAATGGGTGAAACGTAGTCACAGAGAGCACAAAAAAGCAGAAGGTGCCAGTAGGTTGTAGTTACAATTGGCAGTCATTTTGAACCATTGTTGCTTTTTTTAATTATTCAACTTTGATTGCAATTACCAGCCAAAATCAACAATCCTAATAACAGAGCTCAGAGTCATCCAATGAAGCAGTTTTTCTAAGTGTTCGTAACCAGATCATACAACCCTGAAATTTAACAGAAAATCTTATTAACACATTTCCTCATCATCTTCCAGGTCTTTAAAAATACTTTGAACATTTGTTCCATTATTATTCCAGAAACCAAAGCTAAGCAGACCACACTGTGATTTTTAGTTCCTCATGTCACTCTTTTTCAAAGGCAGACACCATGGTTTCTGTTTTCCAGTCTTCTGGAAGCCCATGCATATTCTAAGAATTATCAAAGATAATCATTAATAGCTCTAAGGTTGTTTCTGTAAGGCTTCACATTACAGTGAATTTTCTGAGACATGAAATCTGTTTTCTTTCTGAAAATACCCAAGAGCTAAATACTCTCTAAATGACCTATCACCTATCTTATTAAATGACCTATCTCCTATCTTATTATTTTCCTATCTCCTATCTTATTATTTTCTTCTAAGGTTAGTTTATTAAATTTAAGAGCACAGCTGACCACTTTACTGAAGACTGACACAAGCAAAAAAACACCAAAACCCAAAAACCACTAAACTTTTCAACCATCTCAACCTCAACTTTTGGCATCTTATTTTATTATTCTTTTAATAGTGAATCCAGTTTATTCCCTGGACTTTTTCTTGCTTCTAACATACTTGCAGAAAGTTTTCTTGCTAGCCTTTCTGTCCCTTGCTACTTTAACATGGTGATTGAAGAGAATGTACTAACTCAAGCATTAATTCAAACAGCTGGCATAAGAAGTACATGGTAAATTGTATTACTTTCAAGTGCAGTTCTGGTAACCTGAAGCAAGTAACTGCATGGCTGCCTGACTTGCAGCAACCACTGACCTTTAGGGTGCATAGTGGAGCTTGTGGTTGTAAATGTTCACAAGTGGAATGAGAGTTGGGTTCATGTCACATGCCAAGAAGAGGAACTGTCAAAGAGATCAGAAGAGCAGATAGCACTGTAATGTATGTCACAGCATCATCTTCTTTCTCCTCTTGTTGTGCGCACTGGAGGTCAAATGTAACACTGAAAAGTGGGATAATGATGCATTCAGGGGGCTTACTGCACCTTGTGTGCCATCCCATCCTGTCATACGTACCTTCAGCTGCCCTTGCTGCACCTGCTGAGTGCAGGCACTGTTAGTCTCTTTCTGCCCAAAGCACCAGGCAGACCCAAAGGTGGATCAACTGGCTCCGTTTCTTTGTTTTCTTCTCAGTTCCTCTGTCTGTAAATAATGGAATATCTCTCTCCACCATACCTCCCCCTTTCTCCAAGCAATGAAACTTGAGCTGTGTCAGGGCAGCTAGTCCTTTCTTTCTCTGATTGAACAATAATGAAAGGATGGGAAACAAAGACTAGCAGCTTTTGAGATTAATCCCCCTTCTGTTCTCAGCTGTCAGACTTACTTATTTTTTCCTTTTTTCAGCTAAATCAGGTCATTGTACTACAAATCTTTACTCTGAATGAAAGATTAAACTCAGGTATTTTATTTTCATCAAGGCATAGTATTCAGCACAGAATAATTGGCTATAGTTTCATCTGGATATTTGTATGGGGCCTCCTATCACTTCCACTTTCTCAGTACAAAGAGTGGTATACTGTATAGAGAGAGCAGAGCTTATGCTGATATAAAATTAAAACCAAAAAACATTCAGTCTATTATGGTGATCTTACCAGAAGCAGGCAGGTTTCTCACACATTAGTAAACTCTCTGGTGTGACTGTTGGCTCTACCTTGATGTTTCTTACTTTATTGATTACTTTATTGATAGTGCCTTTTTTTAGAAGATGTTATCACAGAGGGAAAGTATTTTCTCAACCAAGAAAAACTGGCTTTATACCACATCTACTTTACCTAAAATCGATCCAACAGGAGCTTTGGGATTTAATTTAAACAGGGAAAGACACAGCATGACAAAAGCACAGGGCATAACAACCCAAGATGGGCCTCCACTGAAGAACAAGAAGTTTCTGCTGTGCAAATAAATCAGAACATTTCTAGACCGATAGTGTTTCTGTTCATATTTTGCTTTGTTTTCTGTTAAAAAAATATTGCCAATTTAGAAGTAAAAGCCTACTATGAAATTCTTCTTTAGAGCTAATAAAAGGCAATGGGATCAACTGATATTTGTAGCCCTTGAAAAGTCAGGCCTCGTATTATACAAGTCCTAAAAATATTTATTAAACATTAAGGGTTATTTCTCTCAGAGATATCAGATTTTCATGATATAAAGGTCATGAAAGGAGTTAATATCAGACTAGGTCCTGCACGGGCTATTTTATTGTCTCCTTTGCTCTCTTATGAATAGGTAGCATTTCAGTCACATTTTTTGTATATGCAGTTCAAAGGTAAATTTAGTCCTTGTACTCTATGGTATAAGCAGTCCATTGACTTTGGGCAGGAGAATCTTAACGAGAATTTCCAGAAATATTGCTTGAATCAGCAGTGGCACTAACAAGTTTGAAAGGTACAAGGCAAGCAGTGTCCTCTGAACATGGAAATCTACAACTCACCTCTTCTTCCAATTACTTATGTCTTGTCTGATTAATACAAGAGTGTTTTTTTCAGTTTTCTCCTTTAGTTGAACTTTGAGTTTCTCTTTCATGTACCACTGCTGGGAAACAAAATACTTCATCATCAGAAACATACCAAGAAATAAGAAACAGAACAAGTACGATGGCACAGTGACAGCAACGGGAAAGTGTTGCTCAAAGCATGATGCTGGGCAGGGGCTGGAGATTGAATGATGGCACCTCAAAGTCACTGCTCAGGTAGGACCAGGGAAAGCCTTTTGCGGAGATCACCAGCATCCATGATCCTAAAAAGCCAAACCAGCATTTACATCCAAAGTAATGAGGGCCTTCACCATCAGTGAGTGAGTGAGTGAACCATATGGAGAAATAAGTAAGGAAATAAGGACAGGTTAAAAATATTTCCAAATAGGTTTCATAAAATACTTGGTCTTCTAGAAATTTTGAATTTCACTCCTCTGTATTTATTGCTGAAGAGGCACAAAAGGCAGGCCTCTTGTATATAGCACTAGGGGTAAGGAAGGATCTTTTCTTGGGAAGAGAGGTGGAAAAAGGAAAAGGGGTGAAGAGTTTTTGCTGACTGGCTGCAGCTCAGCTGGTGTACAGATTGGGATAAGAGAGGGTAGTCACCAGGAAGAGCCATCCCAGCACCCATTTGTGACATCAAAACCCTGTCCTGTCACGTAAACTGCATAAGAGGACTTACACTGAAGGGAACAAGAGTTCCCATGGATGTACAGAGGATCTGTTATTCAGGTTGGTTCAATGAGTGTTACTCTGCCATGCCAGATGTGCTCAAAATGCAGTGCACATTTGCCCAAATTAATCTACCTTAATCACATTGCATGCAGCTTCCTGTTGCATGCAAACTGATGGCCTCAAAATCTCAGCATTGTCCACTAGCCCATACCAAACTAATTTTTCCAATTGGGTCAGTTTTAATTTGAGTCTTATCCTGCTATTATGGGTCTCTGCACCATGCACTCTGAACTTCCATTCTTGGTGAATGAAGGAGGCACTGCCTCTCTGCCCTTACACTATTAAATGTCAAATTTCAACATCAAAAAAACTGCACAAGACTCAGGCTGTTTAAGAAGGACTGATCTGCAAAGTAACTGGAAGCCAGTTCAGGAGCCAGTGGTGCTGTTTGCAGAGGTGGATTATAACCCTTCTTGTGATAGCTGCTATCGCCATTGCCAAGATCACTGCTGAAAAGCTCCTGTGGCATGTCAGAGCAAACAACTAACTTTAGTCTATTTAAATATACGGCTCTCAAAACTAAGGCAGTTCAGAGTTGTTTAACATGCAATTCACTAATCACTGTGGCAAACTCTGAAAGAGGCCTGAGGCAGCAGAGCCTCAACCATTTCCATTCACTCTTGTACCTCAAGTCCTATTTCCAAAGCAATTTAGGCACCTGGGGGTCGATGTGACTTAAGCCCAGAGCTCCTTATTCATTCTTGAAAAATGCACTCACCTCTTATATCACTCTCTTTCCTGAAGCCAAAAGGTACTCTCAGAAGATGGTCAGTTCTCAGCTCTTTCACTGGTAAGTGCAAGAAAGCATCTGCAGACCAAAGGAAAAAGTTAAAAGAAAAAATACTAATGGATTTATAATTAACATTTATTTTCTTACTAAACAAGTTTCCATCCCTTCATTTGATTGATTTAAACTGAAGGCAAGAAAGTGATAATAAAATTGATCTAGGATTTTTAGTAAGGAGGGGTAATTCCCTGACATCGTCTAAAAGGTTCCTTCAAGTGAAATTAGATCCATTTCTTATGCTAAGAGTTTCACTGGCATACTATGTATAGTAAAAAGGAATTTTTACAAGGGCACATAGTGACAAGACAAGGGGGAATGACTATAAACTGAAAGAGGGTAGATTTAGGTTAGATATTAGGAAGAAATTAATTACTGTGAGAGAGGTGACACATTGGAACAGGTTGCCCAGAGAAGCTGTGAATGTCCCATCCCTGGAAGTGTTCCAGGCCAGGTTGGATGGGGTCCTGAGCAACCTGGTCTAGTGGGAGATGTCCCTGTCCATGGCAGTGTGGCTGGAAGTATATGATGTTTAAGGTCCCTTTCAACTCAAACTATTCTATGATTTTATAATACCCTGGGCTGGCTAAAAGCCACCCAAGCTGTCCTGAACCTGAATAAGCACTCCTTGGTTAGAGCAAGAGCAATAGGCATGTCTAGGGACAGTCCTGATATGCTGCAGTTCAATTACAGTTTCAAATGTACCCTGAAGAGTAGTAGATTGTAGTGATGTTAACAAACAGCCCAGCAAGATCTGAAGTCCTTCAGACACTGGTGGGATTTGTGGACCTAACAAACTTACTTGCCTTTGAACATCTCAGACAGGCAGGCAGGCAAACACTATGCCACTTTTAGAAATGCGGAATCAAATCAAAACACTACTAAAAACTTCATAGAAGTCAGTAAGGAAATCCTTCTTCTGCTTGTTATTAATGGTTACAAGATAACTTTTACTTATAGTGCCCTGGGGACTTATTCAGTAGGATGTAGTGACACTGATGAGAAGGATTATTTATTGTTTATACAGTTGCTTACAGATGAAGGCACTGCATAAATATTCTGGAAACTATCATTCTGTGAAAAAGCTCTTGATAATGCATCAAAATACTTCCTGCATCAAAGTTATTCTGGACTCTCTCTTCGCATCACAAGCTATATTTGCAATGCTCAGAAGGTCTGATTGTATTCTTTATCTCACAGTAGCTGATATGCAGTCAATGTAAGAAATTCATAGTTTGTATCTGGTATTCATACAGTACCAACATTCTGCAAGGCATATTGACATCTAGAAGATTTAAAAAAAAAAACAACAAAGAAGCTGTGGGCTTGTTTGACAGAATTTAAAAAAAAAAAAAAAGTTTAAAAAACTGCATTAATGGGCCATGCAACTTGCATTCAGAAAGGATAAAATAGCATAAGCAACAAAAACCTCGCCATTTTGTGTAAACACATTAAAATATACCGCATAATTTCTAGGTTGTGTATGAGCTCAGAAATATTTTAAGTAAGAAAAGACATATTTCTGTCCATAATCTCCAAAACAAATGTAAAAAGAAACTTTATGTACCCAAAAGGAGGGAAACACAGCATAGAACACAGTGCAAAACCTCTGGTTATCATCTTCAGCTCTTTTTCACTGGCACACCAAGTAAATATATTGGTCACAGGATAGTTTCCATGACTTCCTGCTCTCAGTAAGTAGCTCCTCACTTTACACTAAGACCATCAACAGTAGCAATTTAGTGATCAGTTAGATAAATGAATTGGTCATATGACCTTTAATAGAGCAATTCTCACCAGTAACCACTCACATTGGAAAGACCTGCTCTTTGCCCCGTGAGCTCTTTTGTCTTGTGTTCTGTTTGTTAGGCTTCTATGAAAAATTGGCTTATTAAATTTTTTTATGTCTACTGATCATGAATTTTTATATATTTGAAGTCTGTTACACCAAACACAACTGAAATTGTTCTCCACGGTGCTGCTTTGTTGTCTAAGCTCCAGGTCCCCGGGTCTAACTTTTCCTATAGGAAATGTGCAGTCCAAACTAGATTTCAATGAATCAATAACCTCTAATCGATAGAGCAGGAAAGACATCTCTAGAAGTTCATTTTAAACACCTACCACACGATGAAATAAATCTGTGTCAGTAGGCACCCATCCCTCTATGCCCATTACAGAGTGGGCTGCTTAGACCAAGCACCTGACTTCTAGTATCTTAACATCGGGGAAACTGAGTGCCACCATCACTGTGCTAAACTGAACTAAGCTACAGTAGAGCTATATTTAGCCCATAACTAATTACAGAACACTATTTTGGAGACTAAAAGTTTGGGAAACTTAAATGCAGGCTTTCTGATGCCAGTAAACCTTTTTTTTTTTTTCTAGTAGGAGAGAAATAATATCTTTATCCTGTGGGAGACATGCAAACAGAACAAAGGGCCTTCTTTGTTTTTCCTGCAGAAAGCAATCCTCAGTGATATAACTCTTCAAAAGTTTCTGTATGCTGAAAAAGATTTTCTGTTAAACTCTTCTGGGCAAATTCATCTAGGGTGTATTAAGACAAATCTAGTTACACTGATCTATTACTTCTGTTTGAGCACTCAGTTTTCTTCAATTTAAAAACAACATAAGGGAATAGGAAAATGTTTAAGCAATGAGACATGACATACTATACCATGCTGTACTGTTGATTAATGTGTATCCCAGGTGGATGAGAAGTAAGACAAGTGCCTGCACCATATGTGGCGCGTGCATTAATCAATATTAACATGTAATAACAGGTACAGAGAGAAGGTACCAAAGAAGAGCTGTTTCTGGAGCCCAGTCCTGGTGTGATGACAATGGGGGACTGAATCTTTTTGACACAAGAAGTCAGCCCGACCTCTGAGGCTATGACCTTAGAAAAGCATGCACATTTGACAAACACCATGCCATAGAATGTTGCAGATGCTAAAAGCTTACTTGGATTCAAGGAGAGGTAAGGTAAGTTCACAGATCAGAAATATTTTCAGGCTATAAATTCAAAGAAACATCTCCAGGCCAGGAAGTCTCTGAGCTGCAAATGATTGGAAGCAGGGTGAGTGCCTAGGGAAGTACCACATATTGTGCACCCTGTTTTTATACTCTTTCCTACCCACCTCCTTTTGATGGCTATCAGGGATAGGACAGAGAGCTAGACAGCCATAAGGTACGATCCCATTCAGTGCTCTTATAGTCTGGGGTTTTATGTCCTAAATTTACAATGTACAACTAGTCCCCACTAACTCTGTGCAAGTTGTTTAAGACTCAGAGTGAAACAGTACATGCAGCTATATGCACATCTCCAGTGAGCAACTGAACAGCATCAAGACTTTTAGGTAACTGCCTCACTGCAAACACTGGCAGGAATTTGGCACAATCTTCCACCACGGAGACCTGATACCACCAAGTGCCCACTACCAGTGATGTAGCAGCTCCCTTTTCAAAGCTCTGATGAGGCACAGAGCCTTGAGAGTACTGTCTGCCTGAAGGTGGAAAACCAGTCAAGAGACATAAGTCAATGTAGTATGAGGTACTGCAGGAACCCCACAGCACCATTGCTTCAGACACAGGAGAAGAGTGGAACCCCCCTTGGAATGAGGTAGCAGCTCTTGCTCTCCACTGAGTTTAGAAACAGTCCCATTTTCTACCCCGCCAGGCAGAAAGCTTATAACTCAACTGCCATGTTATGGAAACCAAAGAAATAACAACACCACATTGCTTATTGAAGCATATTAACATACCCCACAGCAGTCTCTTTATGACCGTTAAACATTTACCCAAGATACTGAAATAAATGTCTTTTTTTATTTATGGCATCCTCTCTGGACTCTCTGTAACTTCCAGCCCTTTCTACCAGCACAGGAACCAGAGTGGTTCAGTAGCCCAACAGCCAAACAATGCTGACAACTGCCTATTTTCAAATTAAACTAAGCTTCTTTAATGTTTCTGATTTAATATATTAATGCACACAACAAAAGCAAATATATTGGTTTGGCTTTTGTCTGATTCATGTGGTCCTGGGCTTCAAAATTCTTTTTGAGAGGCCAAGGTGGCTATAAAGTTTCAATTTCAGTGGATAAGCTAACAAACGAATTTGAATGCTGATCATTTTCGAGCACCATATAATTCTGAATTCAAAGAAACTTCTATTTTAAAAGCGAAGAACTCTAAAAACTGGATATGCCAGTAAAACATCTCAGCTATGTTTCATCCTTTGTCTCCATTTTAGGCAACAATAGGGAGCATCTGTAACTTACATCAAGCTATTAGGATCTGTCACTGTGTTGATCAATAAAGCCCTCACGACTTTACTCTACACTTCAGTCCCAAGCCTTAACTACTTGTTAGACAGCCTGTAATTTCAGAGAGGGAAAAGAGCGCCTGCAGGTGTTGAATTAATGCACCATGAAAGCAGAACTCTTCTGTGTTGCAATGGAGCTAAAATCAAGCTTCTCTGGTATTGCTGACAGTATTCAGCTCCCAGTATAGTTCTAACTTTGGATACACAGGCTACCTAGTAATTTTGTCACATCTTGAAAATAGAGCACAGGGAAAAAAATCCATTTAGACTCTTACAGCCATAGGACATGTTTACCATTTGCTAACAGACTGTTGTGTTGTGAATGGAGCCTGCTTCTCCAGTCACACAACACAGAAAGTTTCTTTTGCTTCACTAAAACTCTCAGAAAGGAACTCAATAACAAAAAAGTCACTGATTTCTAAGAAAAATAAGCAAAACTGTGATGTTAACAAAAAAACATTCTCAATAAAAGTCAAACTTAGGAAAAAATTTATCTTGAAAGAAAAAAGTTTTAATTACTTTTTTTTTTAATTTTAAAATCAGAACTGAGACACTGTCCTGAGTAATTTCAGTGCCACTGATCCCATTGACTTTGGACAAGAAAACTGACATAGGCAGTGAAGAAAAGCCATCACCAAGGCAGCTGCTTTTTAAGCAGACATCTGCTCAGCTATACCTCTGTGGGTCACATCTAGTTGCCATTCCATATGTGTGACATTTCTGAGGCCAGATTGTGGCTTTATCTCCCAGTATCTCAGTAAAGCTATGAAAATTTAGATGTCTCACTAAGGCCATGTTGACACCTGTCTCTGCTACTATCCTGCACCACTGAGTCACCCCATGGGGAGGAAGAGGCAAACCTTCGGTATTGAGGTGGAGGTGAAGATGTCTGCTCAGTATTTTGAGTACAGCTGCTCTGTTCCCTGGAGCAAGTTTGCATGTCCTGAATAGAGCTAGTCATCAAGGTGAGGTGATGTAGGCAGCTGCCTCAGGCAGCAGGCTGCCAGGGTGGAATTCAGCCTTTGCTGTCACTACAGCTGGAAACATGAAGGGCAGCAGCGACTTCTAGGTGGGAGAATGACGGCCCTCATTCATGAAGCAGCTACCATTCCTCTTTTCCTCTCAGCAATGATAAATCAGGCTCCCCAAGGCACTCCCTCTATTTTTCCCTGCCTTAGTTTTACCCCCCTCCTTGCTAAGAAATCTTAGACTCAAGGAGAGACTCTCCCCAGGTAACTGCTACAGATTTTGGTGCCTCAGTGAGTGCAACAGCTTATGCTACCTGTGACCTTCTACAAAGCCAGGCCAGGCCAAATGTTCTAGTTAACAAATCTCCTTATCGTGTTGGTCCCTAATACTCACTGAAGTTTGATTCACAGCATTCTACAGTCAGAACAATGCTGATTGGAAGGGGCCTCCAGAGGTCATCTTGTCTAACATTCCACTTGAAGCAGGGCCACCACAAGTACTAGATTAGTTTTGCCCAGTTATGGGCAAATATCCAACATTAGAGATGACTCAGTCTTTCTAAGTGACCTACTCCAGTGCAACACTCAGAGCAAAAGCTCTTTCCTAATGACAAACCTTAGTGCAGTCTTTGGCTGTTGCTCCTGGTTGTACAACCTGCCACCACTGTGAAGCCCTGCAGTTGTATCATCTTTGTGATTGGCCTTCAACCAGTTTGCCTTGTTCTAGGTGCAACCTCACCAGAGTAGACTGGGGAAGAGTAATTTTTATTAGTCTACCTGCCATACTCCTCCTAATGTACCCTGCATGATGTAGCTCCCTTTCAATGAGGGTGCAGTGTTACCTATTCATTTTGGCATCCACCTAGTCCTTTTCAGCAGAGTTGCCACTTGGACAGTCAGCTCCCAGTATTATTGGTGTGTGAGTTTATTTTAGACAGAGGACCAGAGCAAGGATAAAAAACCCCTAAACACCGCACATCCATAGGAGTTCAAAAATAACATATTCAGTTCCCATTATCTCCTTACTTCCCCCTTCTGTACTCCCACTGCCCACCACACTAGGCTCTGCCCCATGTGACTATTAAATTCAGCTGTTGGAACTGCCAGTACCAGAGCATCCACAGGTGTTTTTAAAAACAGGCTTAAGATCATGACCTTCCCAAATGTAATCAGAACAACTATCATTGGCTTGGTCAGTATTTATACATGTTCATATAGCTGGAGTGTGTTAGGGTGAGAACATACATGCAGTGCAGGGGAAGGAGTCTCCAGTATATTTCACTGCTATGTCCACACAAGCAAGTAGTGCAGCCTAATAAAGGAGGATTTGTTGAGTGAAACAGCTAATGCTGAGGACTCACTTTACATTTTATGAGAATTTCAGGGCATTTTATATCTGACTATCTCCAGTCTATTCCTATGGATTTGATCAGCCATGACCAGAGTGAATTAGGTGCAAACTGGGACCACATCTTTCAGTTTACTTTTGTGTACTCCCAAGATCTCTTTACAAAGTATTGTAAATTGTAAAGATTAAAATCATAGAATCATAGAATCATAGAATAGATTGGGTTGGAAAAGACCTCCAAGATCATCAAGTCCAACCCCTGATCCAACTCCAATTACTATATCATGGCACTAAGGGCCACGTCCAATCTCTTTTTAAAAACCTCCAGTGATGGTGAATCCACCACCTCTCTGGGTAGGCCGTTCCAATGCCTGATAACCCTCTCTGTAATGAATTTCTTCCTAACATCTAACCTAAACCTCCCCTGGCAGAGCTTGAGCCCATGTCCCCTTGTCCTATTGTTGGTTGCCTGGGAGAAGAGACCAACCCCCACCTGGCTATAACCTCCCTTCAGGTAGTTGAAGAGAGTGATGAGGTAGCCTCTAAGCCTTCTCTTCTCCAGACTAAACAACCCCAGCTCCCTCAGCCTCCTTAAGATTTGTGCTCCAGAGGTACCCTCCTGATTTGAACTAAAATGCTAATGCAGAGGTACTTGTAGGCTTTCTTCTTTGTGGACTTCCTGATCCTATTCTTTGTCTCTCAATAGCAAGAACAACAGAATCATTTGAGTTGGAAAATACCTTAAGATCATTGAGTCCAACCATTAATCCAGCACTGCCAAGTCCACCACTAAACCATGTTCCTAAGTGTCACATCTACATGGCTTTTAAATACCTCCACATATGGTGACTCCACCACAGGGCAGACTGTTAATGGAAAGTGGAAAGGCAAGTATTGCATGAAAAGTACTTCTGATAGAACTCAGGTCTTCTGACTGAAGATAATATCCCATTTCTATCAAAATGTTTAATTTTACTTTCCCCAATTTTAGCTTTGTTTGTGCTCATTTACTCATTATACATCATTCAAACAGAAACAAAACAGATAGGAATGTTAAACACCATTATATAACATGCCTTACTTTGAGACCCTAAGAATCAACATATCACTGTGATTACATGCAAATTTCAGATGTTCAACACCATTTTCTTTATCTCATGTCTTCAGTACAGGAAGCATTATTGTTTCCTTCTCTGCCTCATGTCTCTCACTGCCTTGTTTTTATGGCATGTACTAGTGTAAGCTACATCCTTCCTGAAGCATTTGAATGTTGCTCAGTTTATTTACATCCAGTAGTACATTAATACTTTTCTCTATGAAATGTGAGGTCTTAGCTATTCCCTGGACATTAATGTAGTTGAATTTGATAGTTAGAACTCTCTTACATTGTTAATGATCTCATACTTTACAAGACAAGACATTTCAAATCAAATTGATCATATTAATAGTTTTATTCAGCAACATTAACAGAGGTGTGTTGTTCTACAATGTCCTCAAGCAAAACTTTTACTGGTACATTAATGGTGACAGAATGTCCAAATCCATAGTAAGAGACACTTTTTATTTCTACAAAATGCAATTACGGATAGCCTAAAAATCTACATTAGAAATTGGTAACCATATCCCTCTCTTGAAAGCCCTGTCTTCTGTGAGAATGTATGGATAACTGCTGCATGCAAATCACGCCACTTTTTTGACAGATGTCCTGTTTTCAGCTGCTTGTGATAGAGAAGAAGAATATCTGGTGGAAATCGGTTGAATGAATTAGCTTCTGAGGTACTGAAGTATTTGGGAACCCATTTGCTATTAGGAAGAAGGGAAGGTAGCCAGTGTCTTGAAAAATAAGACTTTTTCTAAGCAGCAAGATATTACATCATTTCAAGTCTATGTGATAGGTGCTAGAGAGAATCTGTTGAGGAAGGCAACAGAGAAGGGAACTGGGAAGAGCAAGTATACTATAAGTCAAAATAGGCCAGTTTCACAGTCATTATTTAAAGGTGTTCAGAACCTATTCACACTGTACTTACTATTTCAGTCCACTGGACCTAAAAGAACTTATTCAAGCTAAAGGTTTCCTCAGCTAGAGGAATGCTGCACTGGCCCTCATGCACATGATCAAAGGAGCAGTTTCTCACACAGATCAAAGGCCAAATGCAACAAACTTTTGTTCTCACAATGGCCATGTCATTTAGGTCAAGCTGAATGCCAAGTATCATTGAAAAATTGCAGAATTTTCAGTTTTAAAATTTTCTCCTTGCCAGATTGCCAAATGATCCAACTTATGTTTCCAACACATATATGCAGACATCCTCTCTAGGGCTGCATATCTATATAAACAACTATGTAATTAGGTAATGCCACATAACTTGGAGTAGGTGCAATAGGATTATCTGACACATCTAGAGAAGAAAACCAGGGTCACATATGGTGTAATATAATAATAAATGCAGCCTGCAAAGTGCTGCATCAGACCACCACTGAGAGGGTTCTGCCTCAGATTCTCTGACTGTTTTTCTCTGCTGATGGCAATAGTTTATCTCTACTGATAGCAACCTGAATTGCACAGCACTGCCTCATTATTAGACACCAGAGTAGCCACAAGGCTTACACTCATCAAATATACTAAGCCGTCTGATTACCACAGTATCACAGAATCATACAATGGCTTGGGTTGGAAGGAAACTTAAAGTTCATCTGGGTCCAACACCCCTGCCATGGACAGGGACACCTCCCACTCAAACAGCTTGTTCAGAGCCCTATCCAACCCGGCCTTGAACACTTCCAAGGATGGGGCATTTACAACGCCTCTGGGCAACCTGTTCCAGTGCCTCATCACCCTCACAGTAAAGAATTTCTTCCTAATATCTAAATCTGCCCTACCACACCAAAGAGATATTTTGGATGAGCTTTGAACCTTGTAGCAGTGGTCAAAACTGTGGCTTGCAAGGGCTTGAAGTTTTCAGCCTGTCTTCTTTTATAGTCTTTTCAAATAAAAGTGCAAGACAGCCCATGAGATGTGGCGAGCGTGCCCAGAACCCCCTGAAGCAAAAGGCTTGTGAGATACTGCCTTAGAAGAGTAAGATTCTATCAAATCTTCTAAGAAGCCTTCAGTCACATAGAGTTTTGGCACCCTGCTAGATCAACAAATCCAAAAGGCAATAAAGACCATCCCAACTAATAGGGTAAAGAAGTCTACATGGTAAACCCTTCTGCCATTTCTTCTACATTTTGTTGCTTTCTCCCCAGGTACAAATGATTTTCTGTGCCTACAATTTTCAAGAGAGAGACTTTGAAAATGTGTATGATGAAACAAAGTTTGCTTTGCAATCCAGCAAGGTCTGCAGCTGAAAAACGAGGCAGCAGCAATCAGGGAAGAACTGCAGACAATTGTTCCACAGCCACTGTTGCTGTGAAGTAAAAAATCTATCTCAGATAATTGACATTTATTTGATTGAAACAGCAGGGTGCCCTCCATCAGAATGGGAGGAGACCATATGGAACAACAGTATGAGTGGAGATAATGTTTGTCTGCTGAGTGTGTCAATGTGTTTAGAGATTATTCATCGGGCTCTAGGGATTCCAGTATGGTAATGTTTCAGCTAAATTAGAATCAGATTAATTGCTCTAATCTAATGGAAAGACAATGTTTATCAAATTATTGCTCCTTCACCACATGATATTGCGGTGTCATTACTCTTTGAGTTTAAAAAAAAAATCCAAAGGCTTTCTTGTATCACATCTGCTCATGAGCTACTTAACAGTGCTGATTTTTCCACAGGAGAGTTAGTGCAGTTTATAACTCTATGAAGAAATTAATGAATTAGAGTAAAAATCTTGCAGAAAATAATTCTCCATATTGTGAGTAGACCTTAAACTACATAAATTGGAATTACTTTGCCTTGTTTTGGAATTTTTTTGGGGGGACTTTAATTTTGCTCAAGTGTAGATACTTTTTTCCTTGTTTTAAATTTTGTTTCAGTGGAATGAGGTGGTGGGTTTTTTTTTTCCTAAGTAGCACTACAACTGAAAAATGTAGTAAAAAAAATAATGCTTTCCTCGTTTTGTCTCACATTCTTTAATTTCATTTTCGTCTGAAAATTGCAATGAAATGACCAAAAAAACTGAGTGTGCAGATAAGATACCTAAAATCCTTCAGATATACTTGATATTATTAAGTGCTTAGTGTCATTTTAGATCATCTGCCAAATGCTGACTTAGAGGAGACACAGAGCTCTTCAGCTCCTTCAAAATGCAGTGCAAATCTGCAGTTCTGGTAAGAACTGCACTGCAAGTGCTGAATACCTCAGAGACCTTGAATGGTGCAATAGCCTCCAAAGATGTCCTTTAAAAGCTGATTCCAGGCTTTTTACCCTTGGTATTTTGATATATTTTCAGTATATGCTATACATGCTAAATCAAAACATTAAAATATTGGTGTTTTTAAAACTTGATCTAGTAAGCATAATCCTCCGAAGGGGTAGAAGCAGGACCTCTTCTCAAAAGGGCTAATAAATACCAGGAATATCCCTCCAACCTGATTTTCCACTGTGCTGTGCTGACTTGATGCTACTGAAAAGCCCTGGGATTCACAGGACTTTGTGTATCAAACCACAACAATAGAAGATAGTCAGGCACTTTGTCTCTGCTTAATTTATAATGGTGACACTGTGTTTGTGAGGCATTCAGACTACGTGCTTAAGAGAGCACTGAACAAATATTTTCTAGGCTTCTATAGTAACTAATAGTTGTTCCTGCTCTAAAAGGGTCATATATCCTCTCAAGACATATTTCACTGAAATTCTATTTAATGAAAGTGAATACCTTTGTTAGTCAAGTGTTCATAATGTCTATTAAAACACATAGTTTATAAAAATGGGGCAAACACAACCACAAGAGTGATTGAACACTGAGCAGAAGGCAGTGCTTACACTATGCCCAGCAGCTTTCTCTCCCAGGTACAATCCTGCACAAAGATGTCAAGTTTTTGAGGCACAGACCCATGGTGGCAGGGTATTTGTTGTGCTAATGCTTTAGGATTTAGTGTTTCGATAACCTATTTCCCTAATCATTTTCCTCAGACATGTAAAACTACGTTTTCTGGCACTTCTAGAGAGACAAACTCTCCTTCAGTCTTTCTTATTTGTGAGACATTAAAAGTTCATGGCAACTCTCCCATGAAAGGATTTGAGTTCTAGGCCTTACTTTATAAAACATAGATCAAAGTTGAAGTGACACATGCAATGTAAATTGGGCTGCATAAACCAGATGCACTCTGAAGCTATGATGACAAAGCCCTAATTACTTGCTCTTTTCTGAGTTTCAATACAAAACTGTTGTTAAACCCCTTTTGGCTACCTAGTTTTTTATATATGTGTTTGAAACTAATGGACCATCTGCCCTCTTTCCTAGAGTTTTCCCACTTTTGAAGTGAGTGAGGTTCCAGAAAGAGCCATGGTCTATGGCAGACAGACACTCACTGTTATCACTCAGTGCTTGGAGCTAACTTCATACCATTTGTTCTGAGAGCTTCAGCAACAGCTTCCCCACTGTTTGCCCTGCTATAGGAGCTGTGAACCGCCAGTCCAGCCACTGTCCGCTGGGCTCCTGAGGTCTGTACAGCACAAAGATCTACAGCCATGTCATGCTGGGCATGCGAAGACACTTCTCACATCTATATAACTTAAGGATGATGGGACTTTCTGAGGAATTCTGTGACTCTCTGAATAAGCCATATCATGGAGACACTATTCAGGAAAAATATTCTAGCTTAGTATGCATCTATAAGCTTAGAAATACAGATGGTTAATCTAAATGCTTAATTTAAATAAATTACTTATTCATTATCTTTAAATTATCCACTAACATTATTTGGAAATGATTTAAAGTAGCTGTAGCCCCACACAGAAGAAATGGTAACATGCTGTCATGGAACCTTTGTTGGTAAAATATATGGATTTATCTGTTTTGAAGTAAAAAAATGTTGCACACATAGGACACTCCATGTGGTAATGAATTAGAAGATTTGCAAAATAGCAGCAGGGGATAGTGTTTCTGAAGAAAAGTCCTTTACTAGAATCTGCAGGGTACTTCAAAATTGCTATTATTACTATCTATTAAAAATCACAGTGTTAAAAATGCATAGAATGCTCTACAAAAAGATTAATGTTATGATTTATTCCTTGCTCCAAAGAATTTAAAACACAGTTCTACCTCCAGAGACACTGTTGCCATACTCATGGAAGCTTGAAGGACCCAACAAAGTCAATAGAAGCTGCAGCCTATGATAAAGGGCACAGCTGGGCATTGATTTTATATAGGTAAAGCTAGCGAAGAAATGTAAGAAAAGTAATATATTCAGGTCTGAGAATTTTGACCCTGACTCCTCTTATAGTCTGGTTTAATTGCACTGTATGAAATCCTGCCCTCATTGGGAGTCAATGGAAGTTTTATCATCTATTTAAATGCAAATTCAATTGACTTCAAGGAAGCTTTCCCGGTTTAGTCAGTATGTGTATGCATATACATATATTTGAAAGAAACTATATGAATGAATTTTGGAGAATGCAACTGTTTGTTTTATTTCATTTTGGCAGTACAGTTTTCTGGTACCCTATCTTTGTCAAAACTGGTATACACTAAGAAATGAAACCACGACTTATACCTCCTCAGTTTATATACCCAAGCAATGGGATAAGACTCCCAGATAATTAATTTTGATTACAGTTTTATTCCAAGCTGTCACTCACTCATGTATACAAAGTTCATAAAAATATGTGGACTTCTCCATAGAAAGTCAGAGGTAGCTTTAGACCCAGGAATGTCTGCAGTGAGAGGATAATAAGGACTGCCACCCTACTTATTTTCCTGTGCTATTTCTTCATTGTTTTGGAGCTTTACCAGCAGAGCAGAAGCCTGTGCTGGCATGACTTGGTAAATATCTCACAACTTCAGTATTCAACCATGATATTTGCAGAGCCATCACAAACTGTTGCATCAATATGTATATACCGTAGTTACATTTCCAACTACATATAACTTTTTTAATCTCTAACATAGATAGGTAAAGTACCAAAGTAAGATATTATACATATGCTATACAGGCAGCAGAGTTGTGTTGCAGTAACTTTCTACTGTTCACTTACTCAATTTTTATCTAATTACAGCAAATTATAACACCATTTCTGAGCCAACAACACTGTTTTAAATGATTTTCTGCCTAAGCTGCACAAACACTAAAAACACCTGAAACTGGAAAACTCATGTGCTTAATTGAAAAAAAAAAACAGTTTGTGGTAAACAAAATGTGCCAAGGTTTTTCACCTGGAGCACATTATAACAGCTGTTAATAAAACCTGTTTAAATAGCTTTCATAATACATGAGAAACTGCTCAAATAGCTTTGGATGCAGCTCTTTAGCTTTGTTTCATGGGAGTAACCTAGTGATTGCAGTAGAAATAAAGTGACCACATAATTCAGTACTGCAGGACTGATGGCTCCTGTAAAGGGATAAACATTGCTGTTTGTCACAGTTGTAGACTTCGAAAGACACACTTGTACTTTGCATCCATGTCTCAAAAAAAAAAAAAAAAAGTAAAGAGAGCCCACAACACTTCTTCAATTGATTTGCCCTTTGTCACTGTCACAGATAGGTTTTCCCTATTTTGACAGGTAGTTGTAATTCTATTAGTAGCCCATTGACTTACCCATGAAATCGATCTACGTTGGGCTAGCTGGGTCTTCTTAACCTAGGTGATTTATTGCTTCTGCCTGCAGAAAAAAAAAAAATTAAAAAGTAGAAGAAAAAGAAGGTCTTTTGCCTCCAGAGTGAACAAAGTACCTAAACAGTGTCTGAAAATGAATAATTTTAGCTTGGCTTCTGGTCGTCTCAGTGGCAGATGAGCTTTAACCTCTCACCGACAGTTTTGCTGAGATTCCTGCTGATGCTGACATGTATAAATGATTGTCAATTTCCCTTATTAATTTACCTGGCTGCCTCATGTACAAACTAGAAGATCTCACTCACCCTAAATGTCCTCAGCATCAATCTATTGTGTTTACCTACTTTTGTGACCTCTCATTGGGCTGCCCAACTGCCTGAAACTGGAGAACTGCTTGAAACCCATTCAGTGTTTATTTGCTCCAACAGACAGAAAATTGGGGCATCTACCGTTGTTGGCATTCTGGTTTAGGTCAGAGAAACAGATTAGTATCAAATGCTTCTTATGCAGTGGCATCTGAAGAATGATTTACCAGGATCTAAAATGATGTCCTGGAACTTCAGATGATGTCCTGATACCTGTCTTGATTGCATTAATTCTTTCTTCTTTTCTCTGGATCAGAAAAATAAATTACTTTTCTACTGGCCAAAAAGCAAGTTTAATTGTTGCAGATTGTTGTGTGGAGCTTTTCTGTTATTTGTAAATACAAATTTTTGACTGTGGATACAAAGAGAAGATTTTTGTGTACTTCGTTATCTTAACCAAAAGTCAGTTCATAGCTGCTTTTCCTAATAGGCCGTGTAATCAAGGCAGAGATCTAAAGAAGAACTACTCTTTAATACCTCTTCTTTTTACATAATGGTAGGTAGGGTCATTCATTTTTTCATCAAGCGTGTGCAATTAGTTAACAAATCCCAAACTATTTTTATTTTCTACTAGAAAGGGCTACATGAGTAAGTAGAGACATGTTGTATTGTAGGGGGTCACCAGGAAGAAAGCTGACATCTAAAATGTTGCAGTAGTGAGTTATTTTTCTTCCAGTCTTCTTTTCTTCCGACTCAAGTCAAGATCCATTATGAATCTAAAAGAGCATCTTAATGCTGACTCAAAAGGCCCAACAGGGAAAACAAAAATAACCCATCAGTTATGTGACTTTTAAAAAGGAGAAAGATGCCTAGAAGAAAGTACATAAGTATGCACTGTAGATAAAGGAAGAAAATTCAATACTATGCACTTAAAAAGGAGCTAAATAGTACTGCTGGAGGTAGATATTAAGGTTGATACACTAGACTTAATGAAGAGAAAATATTCCAAATCAAAGACTGAGATGAGTAGGGAAAGAAGATGTCTTGCAATACCTACATCAGAAAAAGCATCTAGGACATCTGGGCTCTATTTAGTTCTTTCAAGTATTAAAGCCTAAAGAAAAATATAGACCACAGCTCAAGCCAACACCTTTTAGGAAGAGACTGGTGGTAAGAACTTGAACAAACTGGTAGAACTTTCGCAGGATAAATTCCAGTGAAATATCTCAGAAGAGAGTGATAACAATACTTGTAAATAAAAGAAACATTACTAATTAAAAAAGCAAAGCCTGAACAAAGGCAGTAGGCAAAAAGAAGAGTGCATTCAGGATGTTCTGGATAAAACTGAATCAGGCTACTCATTATTACAGGAGAAACTGTCCTTTTGAGAATCTGTGAAATCCAACATTACTTGCAGAAGAAACCTCTTGTAATACTGATAAATGAAATCATACATGGGACTCTCCAAAGAAAACAAGGACTTGCCATCCCTGGCAGTTGTCCAGTACAGCATTTGACACTGACTTCAGCTGACTATCAGTATAGAATAGTTCATTGGCCTCTGATAGCAAGCATACTGTGAGTTGAATTTAGTTATAGAAAAAGCAAGTTCTAGAGGAGAGTGTGTTGCTGCTGGAAGGTGACAAAAAATTCTTCTCTCTTCCTTCTCTTTTCCCAAAGGATGAGACAATAAAGCAAATATGGTTTTTTTTCTTGTCTTGGAGTTGTATATAAGGATATAAGACTGGAGAAATGTGGTGAAGAAATCATGAATGTCAAGGTTGCAGCAGGGCGTGTCAGCCCTAGGGGTGCAAGGAAACCATAATGTATAAACTTTATATAACTAAAAAAGGCAGCAAGTTCAAAATGAGTAAACAGGCATGTGGACCACAGAACCAACTCTACCAATACTTGAGACATATTTTTGCCACATGAGGTATTCATCATATATCCTTGAACAACAGGCTCCTCTTCTAATGGTAAAGTTTAAAGATCACTTCTACCTAACTTAGATATCTGACTTTTGCCTATATTTTATGCACCAAAAGTGGTATTCATGTCATACTTAGGTCTACCAGCATAGATGAGTACATCTGAATTTATCTGAAGGAGTTCAGAAAGCACCTTTTTCGGCCTGTGTTTGGTCAGATGAATAAAGTCCATTGATCTTGACTGGTCTTGGTTAGATCAGCAGTGACTACAACAGGAAACTTGGCACCTACTCAGTGGTGAACATTCCCACCTAAAATCAGACAAAAGTAGTGAAGCAGTCCTCTTTAAAAAAAGTGCCCAAGCTCACTGAGTGCTGGAGACACGTCCCCTTGAGGGATTTTAGGCTTAATTTAAAAGTTTAGAGAAAAAAATTTGTTAAGGCTGGTAAGGAAACAATGCGGAAAGTGATTAATGAGGAGCTATAATCACAGCGCACTTGATTTGTTTTGCAACACAGAACAAATCCTCAAGTTAGGACTGCAGTAAACCTCATCCAACTACTGAAGGGAATACAGTGTGTTTGTCTTCACTGAACTGTATCCTCAACATACAACAGCTAATTAAAGACTCCAAAAGTCTGTAAATACTTTGACAAATATTGATATATAAGCCTGAGATCTTCACTTGGCTAGCTGGCTAAGTCTTGTCTCATTTACTTCAGTGATGCTGAAAATGACTATGGTGATTTCATCATCTACAGCTCCTAATAAAACAGCTAGCCCAAGATGTATGAAGATGATCTTCCTGGTTTAAAAACTGAAGAAATTATTTCTGATAAAAGAAGAAAAATGGAATCACTCACTGTACATGTCTACTATTGTACGTTATCTAGGAAGAATATTTCCCAAAGTCTTTTTCACTAAAATGAACAATAAAGCAAAGGATCTAATTCAGAGCTGACTCACACCAAAGAAATATTATGAAGAATTTGACTCTGCCACAGTCAAACTATTTACAACACTTAGACCAATCTGGCCTAAAATACTTAAAACATAGTTAGTTGGATGCTTACAGTCTTATTGCTTACATTATCATGTAAAATTTACGTGCTGATGAATATTTTTTCTGTTTCCTCAATTCACAGTGCCACTGGCAACAAATGTCTAGATACCAATCATTTTTCAAATTACAACTGAAGTCTAACTATGTTTTCAGTTTTGATTATTTTCCTATCCACTTGATGGTAAACCTACCCAAAGGTTATAAATATGACACAAGTCAGCAAGCAAAGGTACATAATTAAGATGCATACAAAATACCTCATGCAGCAAATATTTAATTATATTATTACCTGGGTTTATGTTACTAAATTGCTACACAATTTCATATATAATTGATTTTCCAAGAAAAATATTACTGAAGTGATTCTGTAGTTCAAAACAGCATGAACTTAATAATACAGAAACAATTTTTATCTCACAAACTATAGTGCCGCATGGGATTTGTATGCTAAAAAAACCATTCCTTCATATTAACAGTAGTTTTGAATGTAACATAAAAACTCAATGACTTTTTTTCTCTTTATTTGTTAAGAAGAATACTAACAGGGCCTCCTGTAAGGATATATTTTGTAGGTGCTTTTGCAGATTATGAAAATAGCTGTGAGAAAATATTCGGATAAAGAAAGACAAATCTCCAGGTAGCAATAGGTTTCATAGTGAGTTGATAAATGCAATTAGGGATCAGAAAGATGAACAATTACTTCAGGAGAGTTTTGATACCAGAATGCAATATCAGATGATTAGGAAACTGGAAAAATATAATCTTTTTCCTATTGCAGGAGCACTCAGCAGCTTCAGCACAAGTGAGAAAACCATTGTGCTATGGCAATGGATATTGCATGCCCTGAAGTGTTCACAGGCTCAGTAATCAAATATGAGCCTAAAGGAGTACCTGCCTGATCCTGGGAAGCTAAAAAGCTACATTACCCCAGCACAATGAATAGAATCCTGTGAGGAGTTAAAATGAAGGACATTTGAGGGATATCCTCCTCGGCCCAGAGAGTTCGAGATGGGTGGAAAAACGTGCCACCACTACAGTTCTGATGTAAAGTAGATGTATTTCACAGCCACTTTTAATGAAGGAACTATGAATGTACCAATGTTACTATATTGCAAACCAATTATAGCAATATCACAGGGTTTGTGTTACTAATTGCCAATATTTCTTGTCTAATTGATTCTCAGAGAGCAGTATTGCCAGTAGCATTCCACTGCTGCTGTCAGATGCTGAGAACCTCAGCACTACCGATTGCTGCCTGCAGAGGATACTCAGCCTCCCCCAGACTATGAGGTATGGGATGGTTCTCCACAGCCCTTCAGAGCTGAAGCTTTAGTTTTTGAAGAAAAATTAATCTGAACTTGGTAACTCAACCTCTGATTTGGTCTCTTACAACTTGGAGAAAAAAGGAATGGGATAATAAAACATGTGCTGATTAGCTAAGCAATACTAACTCGGTTTTTGTTTCCATTATATGGCTAATGGTCTTTTCTGAACAGGCTTGATTCTTGTATCTGTTTGCATTAGAGTCAATTTGTGGTATGAGATTGGTATTATTTATTGAATGCTACACCCAGCTACAAAGTTAAAACTATGACAAGCTTCTATGAATTTAATTACTCTACTGTGAGACACAGTCTTGTATAGATGCTATAAATTAAGTTTAGCGAATATGATTGGTGTGACAAAATGGTTAAATGGAGGTTACCAGCTCCATGAAGTTGCTTTAGTAATTTCAAAAACTTTATAGACT